ACAAAATCTTTGTTCTTTGATACAAAGCTGCACTAAGTGTGATGTCTGATTCAGGTGAGGTGAACAGGGTGGAGCCGCAGAGCAGCTGACTGTGATTGGCTGATTATCCACAGGTAACCACAGCACACACTCATCTTACACAGGAAGTCATTGGCCTCACAGGGGTGCGCGACGAAGCAGACGAACGAGTTATGATGTGCTCAAATATGCTAGAACATAAACACATGCTAATATCTGCAGGTAATAAATGACTTATTTATGGGTTTTTCTACATTAATCTCTGGCACCCGTTCCACAGATGTCTGACACATGATTGGACGTTCATGCTACTTTAGCCATGCAAGCCCCTTTTTACCGGAGTCAGAGGCAGAAAGCCTGAGTTAAACCTCACACTGAACAAAGCTGGATGACTGTACTCAACTCAACACTGAAGCCTGATCAAACGAGACGCACAGCTGAGAGTTTAAGATGCTTTTTATTAATGATTATGAGCAAAACTGATCAACAGCAACCATCTGAATCAAAGTGAATTATGGGAGATGAAACTGCGTGAAGTCCCCTAAGCGGGTGATGATGTCATTAGTGCAGGCTGAACAGGCTCCGCCCCCGATGCACCTGGAAACCAAAGGAAAAAGAAAAGATGGTTTCCGTTACTCTCTGCTGCGTCACTGCTCCGAGCTGTGAGTCAAAGTTTACAATGATAATCCGATAAACTGTAGATTTAACAGGAAACAGGAAGACTTGAATCGAACAGAGCGCTGAACGAGGAGAAAGGACCTCAGGTGAGACAGCAGAGGAGCAAACTGAAGAGCAGGTTAGAGTGGAGTAGAATAGAGGGCACAGGTGAAACCAGTAGAAACCAGTAGAAATCTGTCACCTGTCAGACTCGTCAGTTTGGGTGCCAGTTGGGTCCAGAAGGAGCAGGAGCTCTGACTCAAACCCCGCTGATGATGGAGGTTAGTGCTTAGCTCCAGGTAGGTGGGCGGAGCCTCTGAGGACAGCACTGGCTGCCAGCGGGGCAGAACTGACTCCGCCCACGATCGGGATGGGTTTGGGTTCCTGAGAGCAAAAAAAAAAAAAATGAATAAAACGGCTCCAGACGCAGGACTCGGAGGTTCGAGTGTTAGCCTCACCCGCTCCGTATGAAGCTGGAGACGTAGGTCATCATGGCAAGAGAGAGGCGCCGATCAGAGGAGGTGAAGCGCTGAGAGCTCATTGGATGATGAGGTGTCCCGAAGGCGAGCTGAACATCCAGAGGAAGGAACACGTCGGCCCTGCAGACACACACAGGAGAGCCTGTTACACCCAACAGCCCCTCTGATGCAGACACAGTGTAGTCGCCATCATA